ACACCTGTGGCACTATTCTTCTCTTTCCTTTATGCCAAGCAGCCTGTCCCAGCACACAGAGGAAACAGAGAGAGTCTTGCAAAAAATGCACCATGAGCAGAGACTATCAAGTAGCAGCTCCTTTATGTTCATGTATTTAGACAACCAAACATCAGCAAAATACCATGAGAAAGCACAGGAATTTCTGAGAAGGATAATTGCAAAAGAAAAGCCACATCTTTGCACTTCAGATGTTCGGCTCCTTACAGAAAATCATAATAACAACCTAATAATACCAGTGTTCCTTTTTCATGTTTCAAAATGACAGCAACGTGTCGACACTGTCCTCTTCTGCAGAAGCCACTCTTCCTTCTCACTGCAACACCTCCACAAACTCAGCAGAACAGAAGAGTTAAGGCAGAACAGCTGTCTGTCTGTACTGACTTGCACATGCTGCAATCGTTTTTGTTCCCACGTACTATCCATGTAGAAGGAGAGAACTTATTTGGCAACAGACACAAATTTTTTGCCATTTTTTTCCTGTTCCATTCCGACGGTGACATGCCATAAAGTATACCAAACAGCTCTTCTGTTTGCTTACAATGTTCAAAGAAAAAAAAAAACTTAACAAAAACCCACTGCTCTGAAAGGTACAACAGACAGCAATGTAAAACTTGCACTTCTGCTAGATGCTGAGTTCAGGTTATCAAATATTCCAGCCGCAGAGATGGTGACAGTGAATTAGAGATTCAGCTATGAAAATCCTGTGATTTTCAGTGGGAGTCATGTGTGGAGTCATGTGCCTGAAGTCATTTAGCTTTGGAAACTATCTGGTCTCCCAACACAGCCAGTATTTGCTGTGTTACAGGTCCAGATGCACATAAACGTGTAAACCATGGCTCCTGTTCAGTTCTGTTTCTGAAGCTGCAGCCACAACATCAGTAGCTTAAGCTTTTTGAAGACTTCACAGCCTGAATGACTACCCCATGCATTTGGCAGCAACTGTACTCCTCCACATTTATAGGATGCTGAAGAAAACAGGACCTACTCCAAAATCCAGGCAAGCTCAGAAAACATACCAATGGTATCTTAAATTTATCTTTTAAAATCCAGGCAAGCTCAGAAAACATACCAACGGTATCTTAAATTTATCTTTTTTAGAGTCTTAGAGTTGTCCAGGCTGGAAGGGACCTCCAAAGGTCATCTAGTCTGACCTCCCCGCAGTCAGCAGGGACACCCCCAACTAGACCAGGTTGCCCAGGGCCTCGTCGAGCCTCTCCTTGAATATCTCCAGGGATGGGGCCTCAACCACCTCCCTGGGCAACCTGTTCCAGTGCTCCACCATCCTCACAGTGGGGGTGCCACCCCTTTCAGGTGACAAAGCATGATGCAAGGCCAAAGGAATTAATACAACCTAGCTCTACTGGTCTATCACTGACGTTTTACCTTAGTTTCCCTACTCAGCAGTTACCTCCGTCAACATCACGCTAGCATCTTCCATAGCCCCATGAGAAAGAAAAGCTTCTCTCTACAGAAAGATCAGAAGCTGTAACAAAGCATTTATAAATGCACTGGAAAGAGCCAGAAATATTACATCTAGATCTAACAATTTTAAACTCAGAATGCCAAGTCCAACCATTTCAACCATTGAAAACTGTAGGTTTTGGCAACGTACAAGACCCTTTATAAATGAGGATGACGACTTACATTTTCCAGTAGGTCATATCAGCTGGTGTGTAAGGCACAGTAAAGGGAGTTTTTTGTGTCTTGACTTAATGGTACGTAAAGAACAACAAGTAAAAGGAATCCTACCTTAAAAGCACCTACTAAATCCCCTTAACTTTTAGAAGAGCTATGCTCCACAGTGCCCTGTCTACACCGATCCCAACAGACAGGATCTGAGGTTTTGCTTAAAGACACTGAGAGAAGTAATAGCTTCAAAACCTGGCAAAAAAGCCCTGCAAGAGTATTATTGTGACATGCCAAGGAAACAGTTAGTTGAATGCACTACTTCGGAATCCAAGAGTCTGTGTAATCAACGTAGTCCAGAATTTGATATGGCAGTTCCGTCCCAAAACAGACCATTTTAAGAGCTTAATTGCTGTTTCACCCATACATGCACGGTTTAGAAACTGGTGGGGTGGGAAAGAAAAGCAAACGGGAAGTTGCTTAGACCAGAGGGTCTACAAAGCAGATCATTTATACGGCCTTTTAAAATAAGATTTTTTGATGGTAGAGAAGTTTGCCATCATAAACTGATAAATCTCACAATGTGATGTATTACTTCAAGCTGTTGTGACTAAGCTGCATCTAAAGTTCTTCTCATTCAGCCTTAAAATGGAGCAGAACCCCCAGGTCTCGATCCTATCGGGTTCTTTCTGCTTATCCTGTATCACGCTTCATCTTCTAATCAAACGTTATTGCTGACACTTTTCAACTCCAGTAAGCACAGAAAAACCCCACAAGCAGGAAGGGCTTTTAATCACACAGGATAGCCAGCAAAACCTGAAAACTGTCTGATAACTCGACACTTGTTTCTCCTTAGCATGAATCATCTCACCATGGCATGCAAATGATTCGAACATGCCCTGTGTGCTCATCATCTCAGAAAACAAACATCACCCTTGTTGGCATTCAGATAAACAGCCCCTCCCCTCTCAATCCGGTTTTGTTGTCATTGTCATCAGTCCTACAGAAGATCACTGTGCTCGAAGCCGTGCAGATCCTGTTTTCATGACGCTAAACCAGTGCTCTGAGATCTCATAGGACAACGATTCACCTCGCACGTCCCTGTCAGCATTCTTCAGTCACAACCTACAACAGCCAAGCGAATGCAGAGCAAATACATAGTGTCTATGGAAGAACTACAATGAACTTGCTTCATTATATACCCAAGCTACAAAGAGACCCAACTTCTTTAGCAGCTCAAGGAGTACCAGAAGGCCCAGACTTCTTTAGCAGCTCAAGGAGTACCAGAAGGATTACAGAGCCCTGGGAGCAGTGGTCGGGGACTCTGAGATGCAGGTAGTTTTTTCATCAGTCCTCCTGGTCAAGAGGAAGGGGAGTTGATAGTCGAATCTGGCAAATCAACAAATGGCTACAGGATTGGTGCCACAGCCAGGGGTTTGGCTACTTAGACATAGGACTCGCTTTGAGAAATCTGGTCTACTGGGGCTCGATGGGGCCCACTTGCCAGAGAAGGGAAGAAACATCAGAAACAACATCTTTCAAGAAAGAATGGCCAAAACTACCCAAGAAAATAAAAACTTGCCTAGTCATAATTCAAAGAGTAGGAGTAGTCGTTCAGTGTCTCACTGCACAGAATAGGCTCAAAAATTAGATACACAAGGAGTTGAAACTGCAGAGAAGTCAGCTAAAATCCAACAGGAGAAGAGCTGCACAGAGCACTTCAGTCACAGGAAATGTTCATTTCTCAGAGGCTGAGCAAAACCCAAACAGTCAAGGTGGAGTTATAAAATACTGTGTGTGCTATAACGCACACTCCACATTTCAGTTGTTACGGCAAGCAATTCCCTAATGCTGATTTTGTAATAACTACCACTTACGAAACCCCCTCACAAATAAAAAATTTTTATGATGCTTTTAGGAGGCTTAAATAAAGCTCTGAGAGCAAATGCAAGGGTTTATTTCACTGTCTCCTCTCCATGAGACATTCAAACACTTTAAACTGATCAGTTAAACAGAGATCGATCAGAGAATGAATTTAAGTGACCAGGTTTCCTCTGAGGTTCACCCTTCTTGTTGGGAAGGACAAGAGGTTAAACATCCCTTGCTTTTATTAGGCTAAACAAAACCACAATACTGTTTGATGTAAACAGGAAACAGGAATGCATTTATAGTCATTTAAACAATGATTAGGATGAAAGTTTCCTCCAAAAGTCTGAAAGCTCCAAGTATGGTGGCCAAAGACTCCTAAACCACTAACCTGACAGAGAAAGAACAACATTTTGCCATTTTTCTCCTTAGTGGTTGTCAGGTTGAACTTGGAGGGCTGGAGAGAAGAAAGATAATTCCGCCCACTTCCTGTATTTCCAATAAAAATGTGGGAAACATCTTCTGGCATCCTTTTCTCAAGGGACTGACAACTATGGTTCTTTGTCACCATATTTAAACCCAGAGAACTCTAGTATACATGGTTAGAAATACTCCCACATACACCATGTGCACGTATCTGGGATTCAATAACAATGTAAATTATTTACGTGCGTCAGGAAGTTTATCTCAGTCTTTTCTTCCTCCATTTATCTTCCTGCTTTTGATCCTCTGCAGCTATCTCATTAGTTCCCAAGAAAACCAGCTTTTCTCTTGCTTCTGTTTCCCCCAACTAAGAGAAAACAGCCATGAAATGCTGAGAAGTTTCTCAAATGTCTAAAGGGGAAATACCTGTGCAGCAGCGCTAGGCTGCCCAATTAACTGTTTTCAAGAAACAGTACTTCTATAGAAGGGTATATTGTCCTAAATGTAGATTATGAGAATACAGTCATTTCTTCACTGTTCATCACTGCTGTATCACAGCTCCAGGAGACTGAATGTCCTCTGCTAATGAGTACCCAACAGGTGTTCATTCCTGATCCTCTGGTATCTCAGGAAAGGCTCTTCTAGAAATACCAGAGTGACCATCTTTCTCCTAATTTATTCCCCCCTTTCTACAGATTTAAACTTTGATATAAAATATCATCATTGAAAAGCAAACCACAAATCAGCATGGATGTCTTCCCTTTCCCCCTAAATGCAGGCTGAACAACATAAAAGCTCTCCGAAAAAGCATGCAAAGTCTCTGATCTCCTTCCTGTGATAGTGAAGCTCACTTATACTGCTGTTGATGTTCACAGTGTTAACCACAGTATTTCTCTACAGCCAGTTTTGCATAACTTCTTCTGGTGGGCAGAGCTGGAGATTCCTTATCCTTGGTTTGCAGTTCTTGAAGCGTGTCAGGTACTCCAGAACACGAAATCCTGTGTTACCTTAAATTTCCCAGGTTAAAATATATCATTACTCACCTTTTTTCCCTCAGTACTATCACCACTGACATAGGACAGTTTTCGACGGACATAGAAGAGCATATCATCTTGTCGGGGGGCCCATTTCTCCATAAAATATGTTGAAAACATCCAAGTCCAGAACACAATACGGTCATCTTTGAAACACCCTAAGAGGCAAAGAGGAAAGAAGAAATAAGAGTTGTGGAATTAGCATGTCACATTTGATTGTGCTTAGCATGACATCCAAAGTTTTTGCTACATATGGAGCTGTCGAGCCTGATGGCAGCAGAAATATTCTTGCACAGCTCGGAGTAAGTCTTTCTACTGTGTACAGCGTAGCCACCATTGCGCACAAACCCACAGCTCATCTTTGGCCATCCTCAACCAAAACCACCTTCTGGCAACCAATCTGCCACTGTGCACAGGAAACACAAATCAGGGCCCATGAGTATATCCTGGCTATGTCTGTGCCATGGAAAAGGACAGAAGGAGCAAACCACACAACAATACCTCAAAGAAGCACTCGAGGAGTAATTTCAAGGGCATGTAGTGCCAATATATCACAGAATCGCCTAGGTCTTTAAGATCATCTAGTCCAATCATAAAAAAAAGAAAAACAACCAAAACAAAACCAAAAAAAACCACAACACACACACCAAACCATGTTCCCGAGCACCATGTCAACTCATCTTTTGAATATCTCCAGGGATGGTGCCTCAACCACTTCCCTGGGCAGCCCATGCTAATGCCTGATAATCCTTTCAATGAAGAAATTTTTCCTAATATCCAACCTGAACCTCCCCTAGCACAACTTGAGGCCATTTCCTCTTGTCCTGTCGCCTGTGACTTGGAAGACGAGACCAACCCAGCCTCTGTACACCCTCTTTTCAGGTAGTTGTAGAGAGCGATAAGGTCTCCCCTCAGCCTCCTCTTCTCCAGACTGAACACCCCCAGCTCCCTCAGCCTCTCCTCATAAGACTTATTCTCCAGACCCCTCACCAGCTTCGTTGCCCTTCTCTGGACCTGCTCCAGCACCTCAATGTCTTTTTTGTGGGAAGGGGCCCAAAACTGGACACAGCACTCAAGGTGAGGCCTCACCAGTGCCCAGTACAGGGGGACCATCACCTCTTGGGTTCTAGTCACCACACTGTTCCTGATCCAGGTCAGGATGCTGGTGGCCTTCTTGGCCACCTGGGCACACTGCTGGCTCATGTTCAGCCCACAGGCGACCAACACCCCCAGGTCCTTTTCTGCCAGGCAGCTCCAGCCATTCTTCCCCAAGTCTGGAGCGCTGCAGGGGGGTGGTGTGACCCAAGGGCAGGACCTGGCACTTGGCCTTATTGAAACTCATCCTGTTGGTCTCAGCCCATCAGTCCAGCCTCCCCAGATCCCTCTGCAAGGCCTTTCTACCCTCCAGCAGGTCAACACTGCCACCCAGCTTGGTGTCATCTGCCAATTGACTGAGGGTGCACCCGATCCCCTCATCCAGATCATTGATAAAGGTGTTAAAGAGAACCGGCCCCAGTACCGAGCCCTGTGGGACACCACTCGTGACCGGCCACCAACTGGATTTAACTCCATTCACCACCACTCTCCGGGCCCGGCCCTCCAGCCAGTCATTATGCTTCACTTAATGACATGAAGCCATCAGCTGCCAACAAGTCTATTATATGCTCTCGGGGAGTAGAGCCAATCTTTCAGAAACAAGTAGCTGATACCTTCCTTAAATCGATACACAGGAACAAAAACGTACTTGTACAGGGTCAACTCTAATTCACAAGGAACAAAACCCAGCTCTTCCTAAAGGAAACGAGGGGTTTTGAAGTCCCAACTCCCAATTAAACAAGAAAAAACAGGGGGAGAGAGGGAAAAATGAGAAGAGGAAGATGCAACAAAGTCTTGTTTAAGGAGCCAAATTACATCAGCAATAGCATGGCAGTTGGCTTCTCACCAGGAAAAGGAGGCACAGTAGAGGTGACACCACATTTTGCGAAACTCTTCAAAGCACTTAACTGTAACAAAACAGCAAAAGGTGCTGCATCTCTTCCATGTCATAATGCTCACAGACTGTTAAAGACCAAAAATTCTTACAGGCAGTGAGAGAAGGCACTACTGTGCCTGGGGACAAGGGAGCTGAATTTCTCCACTCCTCCTCAGTCCTACTAGAGGCTCCTTGGTGAATTAATTGCATCCCCCTCCCTGAAGCCCCACTGAGAGATAACTGCAGCTGTTAGCCAGAGTCTAGCCATTTAAAAACCTGTGAAGAGAGAACCACTAAAAAAATTAATCATATTGCGGAGAAACAGCAACAACTTGAAATGGATGATGGATGGTATTGTTACGTACAAGACAGCAAGACAGGTGGGGGTGTGTTCATGTACACACGTGCCGCTGACAACCCGTCCTCCAGAACATCTATCCTTTACAGTGGCTTATTTCCCTAAAAGCTATAGATTGGCCACCAGATTGGTAGCCGAGGGCTGGGGAGCGACGTGTGTACCATTGAAGTTGGTGTGCTTCCCTCTCAGCAGTACTCTGCACCTATGAAATGGTTCTGCAGAGAAGAATCTTGTATAAGACAAAAGTGATATTTATTTACAACAATTCCTGGATTAAGCTTTAGAAGATTTTCCAGTCAATCGCCAAGAAAGCTGACACACACCATAACAACGAACATGATTTTTCTTAGACACTGGAGGCTAACCTCAGAGCTTTATAAAGCAATCAATCCATCTTTTAATCCACAAGTGTAACTCAGCACATTGTCTTACTTCATTGTGTGTGCAATATTTGCAAGAGAAATCCTTAATTACTCTGGTGGGCAGGAGATTAGACTTTCAGATTTTTTAGCAGACAAATGGGTGATTGAAATAAAAATCTTAGGTCCCTCCAACTAAATCCAAAAGCAATGTTGAAAACAAAATGGAATTCCACTGATGGACCGTGCACAGAATATATTAATCAACATAGAGTAGGATGGTATTTGAAAATATGTATATAGTTGATTACGTTTAAAAATAAAATTTAAGAGGCTGAGAGAGAACAGAAAAGGCCAAGGCAGTTAGTTCCCAGTGCAGGTTAATTCCAGGCTGCAATTGCTTTATTTGCATGGCTGCAGTGAAGTCATTTCAATTACTTAAGGCAGCATAGACCATAATGTGCAAGCGTGAATAAAATCTCCAATGCACTTAAGTACCACCCAGTTTTTGCAGCAGAGAAAGGGAATCAAGCGCTAGAGAGATCAGATACAGGATGCTGGCCATCTGCACTGCTCCCTTGGGCAGGGGTGAACAGGACTGTATGGCAAACAGCTCTATCTGAGAGCCTACCACAGAAGAGTCGGTTCAGACTATCAAAACCAGGCTGAGAAAGGACAGAATTATCATCAGCCATTATATTTACAGATAAACACTCAGCAGAAAAAAAAAAAGTTTTAAGGATATACAGCTGACACAAGGACAAATAGCTCTAAACTACCCACATATGTAGGGCTGGAAATTCAAAGCAGATTCCTAAGCCTTCAAGCCATGAAGTTCAGGAGCAAAGCCCTCAGTTGGAATAGTGAAGGCAAAAATCCCTACAGCTGTAAAGACTGAGCTCATCTTGGTTAAGAAGGTTCATGTGTTACCAGTGACAGCCAAGGACACCATGACCCAGTCCCACCTTTATATTTAGCAAAAAGCAGAAAACAGGGCATGCATTCATCGTGATTCATTCATGGTCTCTAAGAAACTTATTAGAGCTTATTATTTTTGAGTACCTGAACTCCCAGCCTTAATTAAATAGAGAGGGGAGAAAAGGGGGAAAGAGAATTGCTCTGAGTTCATCTGGAGTTCTAGGAAAATCAAAGGAAAAAGAAGGAGGAATCTACATTCTGTAAGAATCATCTCTGAAAAAAACTCTAGGGTTCAGAAGTACACCATTTTAGTTTGCTTCATAAATGAGTAAACAAAATAACCCTAGTCAAGCCACCGCTTAAATTTACACGGGAATGTTTTTCTATTGCTTCATAAATGAGTAAACAAAATAACCCTAGCCAAGCCACCTCTTAAATTTACACAGGAATGTTCTTCTATTGGGGAAAAATATTTTTCCCTTATGAAGTAAAATCATCAAGTTATCTAAACCCAGCTTTATAACCAGGGATTAAACAACTTTTAGATTCTGGCAGTACTTGCAAAAAATCTGAGCAGCTGCCACATGAGCTGCTTACACCATCAGATGCGTTTTACGCAATAAAGCACAGGAGTCAATATGCTCTTCTGACCGATTGATGGGTGGTTATACCAGAGCATTCATAAAGGCAGGAGAAGGGCAGAACGGCACAAGATACCAGGACTTTTCGTGTGCTTTTACCCTTGGCGGGGAACACAGGACAAATTGATTCAATGTTCAACATTTATCCAAACAGAAAACTAGGGAACAGAAGTGCTGTTGCAGTGAAGCTACTGCAGCATAATGCAGGGAAAAAAAAAAAAAAACAAAACCCTGAAAACCCTTCTAAGCAACGCTGGATGGCTGTCAATTCAAAACGCAACAGATGAGATGCAAAATCATCCTCCAAGCTTCGGGGATACTTGCAGGCACTGCTGTAATTAAAACCAACCTGAGGATGCTCTGTTCTGACTGCAGTGGCTAAAGGACTTATCCTGAAGCTAAAAAGAGCCAAATCACTGCAACACAGCTGTTTTTATTAAATTTCAGTAGAAGCAGGAAGGATGGGGAACAGCACACAGAAGAATTAGACTTTAAAAATCTGATATTAAATAGCATTAACTTGGAAAGGAGACAAGAAAATTTGTAATTGTAACCCAGACTTCTTAAAACTCGAGGGGGGGAAATCTATTCCAATTTCAAGGCAGAAACTGTCAGGTCCAATATATCAACTCAAGCTTTACATCCCCGAAGAGCACGTCGTACCCTCAGTGTCATTATTTTGGTGGCCTACAGCATCTCACCAGGTGCCTTCCAGCTTGGCCAAAGAAGAAACTTGGAAACCTCTTGTTAAAATTGTTTCAGGGGACGGTTCTGAAACTGTCCCAGCAGACAAAGTTATTCTTTCCAATAGACAGAGGAAAGCACAAAGCCTTGATTTCTCAGCCTTTGCCACAGCACCCTGTTGTGGGGCCTCAGCTCTGCTGGAGATGGTAGGGCTGAGAGAGCAGCTCTG